TGGTTCTGCATCAGATCAGTTTAAGACCTGCAATTACACACTCACTAAGTCAAGCAAACGACCGGCTCAGTCTGCAGGCCTCACCTTTAATATTTACCTTGGACAATGGTCCACTCATTGTCCACTCAAGAGTTTCCAAATAACAATATGATTACAAGGTGTATAATTTTTTACAGTTCTCATTTCTGGGGGTATTAAAAGGTTAGTCTGCGCCATTAGGTAGAGTCTGAGCACAGGTGCTGATTAAGTTGATTCACTGAGGCAATTACAGCCAGATCCCCTTTAATTACTGTGGGTTTTATTGCAAGTGCGTGATAATGGTGCACACGGCCCGCAGGAGTGGGAGCTCTGTGATGAGACTTCTAAAGCACGGCTGTGCATGTCAGAAAATTTGAATTCGTGAAATTGGAGGAGATAAAAAAAGACGTTTTTGACACCTTTTCTGATTTATTTCCATCACACACACACACACACACACACACACACACACATACACACAAAAGCATTGGGGAATACTAACTAGACACAATTTACACTCAACACTGTGGCAGAATCTGATGTGTATGGCAACACTCAAGTGTGTGAAGGCACACCTTTTATATATATATATATATATATGTATATATATATATATATACAGTATATGTATATAGTATATACATATATACACTCCTAGTCCTAAACCAGGTCCTGCTGCACAAATCTAAAATCACTGAAGGCAGAATGACAACCTAGAAAGCTCACTTTCTTGTCACACACACGGCCCATTGGCAACCCTCCTCAACTCTGGTTTGCGATAAGAAACAAGTCGACAGCTACACAGCAGGCAATATCCCCTGCCTTCAGCCCTGGTGCCTGTTTCGGATGCATCTGGTTAGTAAAAGCTGACAGAGGGCCGGCCATGCCTCAGAGGACAGCAGAATGAGGAATTTCGGCATTCTTCCACGTCGCCACTGAGATGCAGGAAACACACAGAGGCGTGCCTTCACCTCCAAACACACTCACAGACACACACACCAGAAAACCTCTGATGTGCTGCTAAGATTCCCTGTCACCAGCAATGGAAATGGAAAGCAACACACACATCCGTTATCTAAATGTTAACTCCAGTGCCCCTCTTGTTGTCACAGCAGGGCGAGGTTAGCCAACAGCACAGCAGCTCAGAGCTGCAGCTCTCAGTGAACACAGGAGGAGGAATGTGATACAAACGGACTCGGAATAGAATCTCGTACCTGTTAAACAGTTCTGTGTGCAGGAACTGTTTAGCCACTCATCAGACAGTCGTTTTGAATTCAGCTAAAGGAAGTGTAGGGTGATGTATTTGTCTGCCAACTGAGTGCTATGTTTTCTGTAATGTCTGAGGGGACCACACGGTGGAAGAGGTGGTTGGTGTGGTTGCCTTACAGCAAGATGATCACGGGTTTAGGTGGTGTTTATTCAAAGCAGTTACATCACGGGCAACTGGACTGGTTTGGTTTCTTCAGTCCTCATATGAGGTTGTGTTGGGGGGGGTGAACTGTCCGCTGCCGTCTAAAGACAAGGTTGGTTACGCTGAAAATGATTAATCTCTAGGAATTCATAAATGAAATGGCTGGCTGAAAATGTTTACCAGTGGAGAATAGAACCTGTAGGTGGCAGTCATGCCACCAAAACAATGTCAGTTGTATCCATAGTCGATCTTCCTCAGATCATGGCTGAAACATCTGGTCTTGGTGAGATAATGTGACCCAGTGAAGACCGACTGATCTGATATTTCCAGCAGACCATGTTCACAGAGACCTCTCTGTCCTGTGTGCTGCTGGTCCATCACAGCATCATGACCTGGGCCTGGCTTCAGCTCAGACGACATGTGTGAGGCATTCAGTGTCTCAGCACTTCTCCGGGAGCTCCTGTGTTGGAGGAGGGTTGGGGGTGGGGTGGGGTGGGGGAGCAGGAGGTAGACGGGTGGAGACAAGTGGACAGTTGCGTGGACATACTCTAGACTCCGAATGCACTCCGATGCAGCGCAGGCACTATTTACGCTCCGACGGCTGCGGGATCCGGGAGCCGGATATATTTAGCCACCTAGAGATATCACGCCGAGATGAGATTTCAAAGTGCAGTACCTGTTTGAAGATGCACGGCATTCCACAAGGGTGGGCAGAGGCTGCTGGGTATAAATCTAACAGCCCCTGCACCTGGTGTGAAGACAGGGAGGGAGAGTGACACCTCAGATTTAGAATGACTTACACACAGGCTGTACATGTGTAAACTACACACTCATCCATATAAATTTACACACTGCTTATGAATGGAGAGCAGACACCACTTTTTAGCTGGTGAAGCTTCACTCTCTCTCACACACACACACACACACACACACTTGCTGGATTTTCTCCCCTGTCACTTTTCTTTCCTTCTGACTTTGCATCCATCATGATCTGACTTTGGTTGGAGGAGATCCTTTAAACTATGTCGGGTGAGGGTGAGGGTCAGAGTGACGAACTGTCGTCGTTCACACCTTAACGAAGCCTAATGACACAAACTTGATCACAACATTATGCTACAGTAACCCACACTGACTCCGGGTGAGGGTGAGGGTGACGAACCACATCTGTGGTCTCCCACTGTCGTCGTTCACACCTTAACGAAGCCTGATGCAGAGTGTATTGTTTTTTATACCGTGATCGTATCAGAATCATAAAGTTTTCTCATCGATGCTGTGCAACCATGTGGTTTCTCTATGTGATCTGAGTTTTATTGAGCCGTTCTCCTGCTTTTGCTATTCACAAAGTTTCCTGACATGAGGGTGTGTCTAACAGTGACAGTGTTTCTTCCACCAAACACCCTGTGTTTCTCATCTTGGATTTCATTCCTGGATTATTATACCATCTGCAGACTTTTTTATTCACGCTTTCAGTCTTTAGTTATGATGAAGGTTGGATACGTCCAGGGTGCTCTAATGCCAAATACTAGTGCCACTTGTTCTGAACCAGTCCAATGAATCTAGGCAGGTGGTGCGCCCAACAGTTTTTGAATAATTCTGTGGTTTATTTTGTGTAAGTTCTCACGTACTTTAGTTCTAAAAACAAAATAAATAAACTAATGAACAATGAACAACTTTCTTATAATACACAAATGTCAACACAGGTCCTAAAGCCACTCTCCCTCGGGTTCACATGTCGTTGTATCAGAAGAATGATTCTCATGTCAGGAATCTGAGATATCAGTGACACTTTAGACAGCTGTGCTAAATGACAAGACATGGTATATATCTGTGTGTGTGTGTGTGAGAGAGGGAGATCATCTTGCTTTGTAAAGCCACCACTCTCTCCTCCCTACATTTCCCCTGAGCCCGTGACTCATTAATCAAATATTCATACGACCCCAGTAAATATGAAGACTACATTCAGCCCTCGGAGCCCCGACGCCCGCAAAGAGCACAAACGCTCTTTCATTTTTGTTTTGGCCCCCCAAAAAATCCCCAAATTCCTCCCTCCTGTCCACCCCCCCCTCCCTCTGCATACATGATGTCCCCTCTCTGTCCACACTACTGTCCCTCTGTCCATGCATGAAAGAAAATAAAAAGAGAGGAAAACACAGATCAAACAGGATCTAAATGATGCCTTTATGTGTCTTTTCCGTGTCGGGAGACAGATGTGGGATTCTTCCTTCACTTTCTGTCCGTCCATCCATCCTCACCCGTCACCCTTGGCCTCGCTCTGTCACAGAGGACAGTTCCCTCATTTAAAAAGCAAAGCTCATCATAATACAAGAATTTGTATTGTACAGGAAAAACAGGCCGGCATAGCTCCGACCAAGAGAGGGAGAGGGGGCAACAGAAAGATTATCCATGGCAACAGAGCTCTGCACACAAGGATATTTTCTTTTCCTTGCACAGGAAGACAATTGCTGCCAGTGTCAGTGGGTCACATTTTTCCCGGTGCCTGGTTAATGGGCTGTAGAGATGGTTAGCACGTACGATTAGTTTTAATCTGCTGCATTTGACTGGGAGACAAGTGGATTGAATGGGTTTCAGCCTAGCACTGAGGTTTGTATTTACACCCACAGTTATAACGAAGTAAACATTTCTCTGTCTCACTTCAGTCTCCGTGAGTGAAGAAAGTCAAATATTTGTCCTTTCTTTTTTCTTCTGCTCTTACATTGCAGATGGCTAAGATTGATTTTTGTGATTTCTTTTCTGTTTTTCTGGTGTTGTGATGAGACTCAGCAGTCAGGTGGTGAGGTGATTGATTAAATGTATTTCTGAGAGATGCTCTGTTTGTACTTTTAGAGAGATAATGAAAAACAGTTATTGTATTGTATCTTGGGAAATATAAGTGTAGAAAAAAAGATTGTTTTAATGTAGAAAAGCCCAAAATGAAAATTTAAATCTTGTTCTAGGAAAAAACTGCTACAGTAATATTTGGAATTTATTGGTTTGTTTTGACGTTAACTTGACTCTTTTTGAGTCATTTCAGTTTCTGTACTAAACATAGGGTTTATGGACCATGTGTGTAACAAGTGTTACTCAAATGATATGATTCTAATTGTGAACAGAATGTGCTGTTGGAGCCTTAAAACACACACACCAGGTGTTACCAAAATTACCAGAAACTCAGTCAGAAATTTCTCAACCTGAAAAGTTTTCAGAGAAAGACTGGGAGATCTAGTTTTTTTAAGTTTTAAATCTCAAGTCCTAAAAATACATTTGAATTTATTTTTTTTTATATTTGTACCTGTAAGAGCAGAATTCCCAGATAAGTTTCTTTTAATAATGTAAAATCAATGTAAAACATTTGTATTTTTAAATTTAGCTTAATGAAAACATCTGTGAGAAAGCTTTTTTTTTACTTCATAGTTAAAAATGTCTCCCTTTTAAAATTAAAATTTTTCAAAGAAATACACTTCTATATACATATATTATATATATGTATATGCAAAAATAATTCAATGTGATTTTCCCATGAGGTCCTAATAATTTTCTGCTGTAGATTTTCTAGGACACTTCCAGGCATGTGTTTGTATTCAAGCATTTAAGAAAATCATTTATTAATTTCTTGACTTATTCCTCACTGAAATGTCTTTAGAACAGGCGTCTGTGACAGATTTGGCATCGTCGTATCATCACATCATGTCACGTAAACACTGACGTGAGAATCTCTTGGTCTTGAGCCACAGATGACTAAAGTGACGGCTCAACTCTTTTTCTCTGACACTCTCTACCTTTGATTTCACAACTTACAAAACTAGATTTACTCACAACTCACTTTACAATAAAACCAAATCTACTCAAATGTGATAAAGCGATGGCAAAAAAACATAATTATCACATCTCTAAAGTCCATATGAATATGAATATGACATAGGTTGAAATGTTCCCCTGAATGAAGATGTTTCTTCGATACATAAATCTCTCTGGCTGCTGAGTGTGTAAGATGCGTGGTGATATGGGCACAGTTTTTATGCTGGATTATCTGTGTGACACAACTCTTCCATTAATACTTGCCTAGGACGAGCACCAGGCTTACTTTCAGCTCTGAGTGTAGAAAAAATATACAAGGTGAAGAGAAAATTCAGCAGAATCACCAAAAATTAATTCCCATACAAATGATTTAAATGTTCACAGTGAAAGGCAACAGTTGAGATTTGTTTTTCTTTCAGTAACAAAAGTTCTCTCTGATCAGAGTCTGAAACCTGTGCAGTTCATCAACAGAGTGGACCAGGAGGATCTGGACACTCAGCAGTTTGGTTTTTACTCAATGACCAAGACTCCACTGGTAGTCTCCTAAAACAGTGCTGTCAAAGCAGCACGAAGTCTCCGGCAGTGGTCACCGTTCTCCTCGGGTCACGGATCTTCTCCGGGGTCAGGCCTGCTGACAGGTCGTAATCTCTGCCGTGACCTTGCACGAAAGTGAACGCTGGGTATTTCTCTTTCACAGACGGCTGCAGCAGCTGGAGGGAGAGTTTTCAGACGAGTGTGAATGTGCAGTGTTATGCAGTCTGAGATTAATTACAGTGCTGTGAATTATTTTTGGGGGGGGGTTTAAATGTTATGTTAATTTAATATATAGAAATAAGTCTCTTAAGCCTGAGGAGCAAACAGTGTTTAAAAGATTCCTCCCTGCCTGCTGGCTAGTGAGCGGCTGAGAAAGTCTGACATACACGGCTAAATGGTGCCATCTAGTGGTCAACTTATACCGACACATTTCCCTAAATTAAAACACATCCCCTAAAATAGCGAACTATAGAACTTTCAACCATGTTTTGAAATATGAGTGTTTGGATGTATCACCTTAGACAGCTCCTGTTGGATTCTCTCAAAGTCCTGAACATTTCTGGAGTAGAACCCGATGGTGCAGCTTGGGTCCAACTTACTGAAAGGCATCTTCTTTGGTGAAGGGCAGTGATAAGACTAGACAAAAGAGGAAAAAGAACAGTTGGGGTATCATACCACCAACAGTGAAGGGGTACAAAATTTTTAGCCCCTTAGGAATTTTTTTTTCGCTACTTCCAGCGCGAATTCCTACAGAACCAGTAATATGACCAGAACTGTTTATTTAATAACTGTTTATTAAAAATATTTTTAATTGTTGTGTCAAATATTTGGCTGCTAGTAATTCCGTCCTCAAACGATACACAACGGTGGCATCGTCGAAACAAAATAAGCTGTTTCCTGCATCGCCAGATGACTGAAACCATATTCATCTGCTGTCACAGCGCAGGTAAATTTGCAGCTGTGCTGTGTGTCACACTGTATAGGGCGATTTGCAGCTGTGCTGTGTGTCACACTGCTGCTTGTGAAAGCATAAAACAAAGTTGCCACACAGCGCTGTCTGCTGATTTCTTTTTTCAGTATGGCTCCTGAAATATTGAAGCTCACAGTATCTGATCATGTATTTGCCATATTTCTCTTGAGTGGCAGCTCCAACACCATCTGAGCTGGGGATAAATCAGCAGACCGGAGCTCAGTAATTGGACCGTGGGCCGCTTTAAGATTCATACCCTTAAGTACTAACAGAAACTATTAAATTCACATTACTGAGACCGCGCTCGGCTCCCGTGTGTAATTTCACATTACCTGGAGAGGGAAATCGCTGGTGCTGACGTCCACAAAAGACTGACAGTAATGAGGGTCCATGTAAATCAGGCTGTCGTCTGCAAGGACAAAACAAAAGACAAGTTATTCAAAAAACATCAGATTATTACAAGGAGGCGCTCGCGTGTCTCCAATTTCTATGCAGAGCAGCTCAAAGTCATCTGCTGTGGCCCAACTGTTGGGCTTTCTGTGCATCAAATATGCCGCCCAGAAGGTTGTTGCTTTTTAATATCCACCGTGTGGATTAAACTCTGCATAATCAGATACACTTGTACCATCACATCCTTTACAGCCGCACAAAGGAGGTTGTCGTTTAATTTTTGTGTGGCGAGAATTACTTTTACAAACATGCAATTATATTCCATCATTTGCATGTGATAAATGAAGCGCCCGGCCCAGCAGTGGCAGCCGGAATGTATTGCTTGTCATTTAGACATCATCCAGCGGCGTGTTTTAAATTGGTAAAATGTAAATGTGTAAATATTGACTGCCAAGATGTACAACTGAAGGTTCCTCCTGGCTGCTGAAGGTGATGAAGAGTGGCTCACTCTGAGGCCGGGATGAAATTTAATGCATGCCTCCTATGGAAATCAATTACAGCTTACAAGTTGGGAGGTTTACTTGTGATGAATGGGCGAGGCTCCTGATGGGTCACAGAGAATAAAGTAAGCCCTGCTTCACTTGCTCCCGTCTCCACTCCTCTCCGTTTTCCTCTTGCAAACAGGAATATATTAACTCACTTTGTCTCTTCACAAAAGAAGGGTGTTTTTATGCAAAGTGTTCTATGGTTCACAACAACACTTCTCTGTGTGTGCAGGTGTGTGCGTGTGTGGGTGTGTGTGTGGGTGTGTCTTTCTCAGTCTCACAGTGAACTAACACTCACCTTGAAATCCCACAAAGTAACAGGCCTGTTTGGGTTTCCCACCAATGATACCTATGCAGTACTCCAGGCTCAGGATGCTCTACAGAAATAGAAATGTTTGACTGTCAGTCAAAATGTTTCATTTGTTAATAAATATTATAAATACTTTACATTGAATCTTAAAGCTAACATTATGACAGATATTTCAAATGTGACGTAATTTTGCAGAAAGAACACGCTGAAGACCTACGAGAATAATACATGGAATATATGGAAACAACAATCAAACCCCCACCACGCAGATGACCCACCTTTGCAAAGTCAAAATACTCAGGGTTTGTCTTCTCTCCTCCCAGTCTGACAGGGACCAGGATGATGACAGCTCTGTCGTCAGGCAGACCTGAGGCTGGGGCCGGCTGGCTGTTGTGTAATGGAAAGGAAGCGTTCGATCCGTCAGCAGAACTCTGTCCTGAGGCAGGTGCCCTGTGACTGTCGATGACGTCAGCGCTGTACACTGTACCAAGATCAATGACACGAAGGTCACAGACAGGTCACTTTGTCTGCGTCTGTGCTGTCAGATTATAATCTACTGTATGTCGATCCGTTTTTCTGAACACTTTCAACCATTGTTTTTTTGAACATTTTATCTATACTTTAGTTCACTTTATTATTCTTTGTCTACTATTTAAGTAAACTACAAAAAATATGATATGCAACAAAATAGTGTTAAATGTAGTGAATTTACAATAATCTAATTAGTCTTAATTTTCACAGAAGGACCAGTTGGACCTCAGTTGTATTTTCTTTACCTGTACAGTCCTGGGAGACATAGGCAGCTACACACGCCAAGGCCGGGTCTGTCGCCTCCTCCACAGCTTTCCTGAGGAAAGAAACAGGTGATGAAATGAGACTGAAGACAAAAATGTACACCTGGAGACTCTGAATCATCTGGGTTTTTAATTATTTAAATATTCCTGCGCATGTATCAATGGATTTCTCCATAAATGACAACAGTAGAAATAAGTTATAACGCAGCTCATCTGCATACAATAAACTTACTTCATGTAGAAAGTGTTACACGTGAGGAGAGAATTATTAGCCTCCTCTAACATACAGCATAAACATTTTTATTTATTTCACAATTAATTCGAGACAACGATCATCAAGATAACTCCCATCAAATGTTAAAAAAATCTATAAGAAAATCTTTTTTAAAAGTGGCATAAATGCACAATAAGTAATTTAATATAATTTAATTAGCTCAGCTCTGCTCTGCTCAGCAGAGAATTTATTGGGCTTGGTTCTGTGATTGTTCCAGTCATTAATCACCACAGGCCGATTAATTGTCACTTGTTTTCTAAACAATCTACATTTCCATAATTAGCTCAGCTCTGGAAATCTACATTTCCATGTAATTAGCTCAGCTCTGGAAATCTACATTTACAATCTACAACTGTAACTAATGTCTTGACTCTCAGATGATTTCTTTTTCAGACCTACTTGAGAATATGCGCCACCACAGCAGGTCCATACCAGTCACCCGCCTGTTTCCCCATGGTCAGACTAGAGCGGACCAGCCTGTGGAGACCAAACTGGGCCATGTGACTATCCCCGAACCAGGACACCAGCCTGCGGTGGTTCAACTCTTTCAGGTGAGTGTCAGCCTCTTCTCCAACAGCCTGGGCCTGAGGCTCAGGATCAGACGACCTGAGGGAACTCTGGAGAGAAGCCTCTAGAGTAGCAACTAAACGTTTAGCTGTAGTTGTTGTCCACGTCTCTGTGTCTAAAGGCTGGAGCATCAGTGCTCCTGACCAGGTCCAATCTTAAGAAGACCAAAGAAAAGTTGGGTTAATTAAGAAAAAATCGCACCATTGATCCACAGGAATCAAGGAAATGAGGAAATGTTACAGATTTATAAAACCATAAGAAATAAAAAAGATTAATTTATTGAAACTGTTCAGGACTGAACTGGACCATTCATAAAAGTTCCATGAATTCCATCACTACAAGAATAAAATGTCCTTTAGAACTTAAAAGAACTGAAATTAAAGTTTTTCTCTTACATGGGGAGAACTCAGAGCCTGTCACTATGTCCAATTACAAGTTTGAGTGTCCCACTATTTCATTTTAACTCCGCTTTAGCATTACAAACAGGGTGGGAATCAGAGGAGGAGAGAGTGGGAGGAGCTGTGACTATAAAAGGGCCAGAATAGTCTCCAAGTCATTAACCAAATGACCTTGGTTCAAAGTGAATCAAAGTGAAATTGATCAATAAATATCCTTAAGTGGCCATTAGTTACTTTATAGAGAAATATTTTATTAGTGGCATATTTTAGACCTGACAGAAGAACAAGTTTTAAATATTGTTTTCCAAATGGCTACATAAAAGTGGTTCTGTCGTCTCATTATGTGAAGACATAAAGTCTGGGAGACTTCACAGATGGACTTCACAATAGAACAGAATAGAATGATCTGTGAGGAATTCCATGCATTTACAACGTTATGCATTAATTAAAGTCCAGTTAGTATTTTGGGATAAAACAGAAAAATATAAAATCATTAAAATATTCATTTAACATTTAATTTAACCACACAAAAATCATCCTTACTTATCCTTTACTGTCCTCTAACTCACCTCTACCCAAAAACTGCAGAATAAGTGCCTGGGCCAGCATCATCTGTCCAGCCCTCAGCATACATCCCCATCCACAGTCGGAGGTCAGGGTGGAGCCGGGCAGTGGAGGAAAGTCCTCCCTGTAGGTCAACCACACTCTAGATGCAAAGTCCCTGCGAAAAGCCTCCACGTTCCCCATGACGAAGTCCTCGTCTGAGGCTTCATAGCAGATGTCTGTGAAATCCTCAGCGTCTGAAGCTAAAACAAGAATCAATACAAATGGGATCAGTTCAAATGATGCAAAAAATTTATTTCATTTACTTCCTGTTGCACCACACTTTTAAAGAGTCAAGTTCATGCACTTTTCCAACACCCCCATTTTTAACTTATAATTAAACCAATGAATGAAGCTTTTGAACAGTTATTTAAGCATTTTCTTTTGTTCTTCTATTAATACAAAGATGTTTTAAAATACCTCCAAAAAATCAATAATATAGTTCAGAAACATATCCTGCAGTGTTGCATGATAATGATTAACATTGCACTGTTAAAGTGTGTGTTTGTAAATGTTTCTGTGGAGAGCACCAGCACCCTGGGAAAATGCAGAGCAGTAATTACAAGACATATACTGGGTGCACATAAATAGATGTTTTTATTGCAGTCGGTCACAATGGTGTGTGTGTGTGTGTTCTGTACCTTCTGCCTTAAAATGGTAACACTTTCCCAGAAGCAGAACTGGAGAATTTCTGCTGAATGACGTCTTTGTTTTCAGAGCCCAACCTCAAACACACAATGAAAAGATGATTTATTTAAACACTATTTACAGAAAAACAATGGTGCCTGTTTATTCTGTTCACAATCAGGACATCTTTATAACACTCATCATTCAACCCTTTGGTTTCATTCCGTG